ACCCAATCTTATTAGAGCCTATTTGCACTCTGAATTTATCCCATCTCATGCAAATATATATATATATATACACATACATACAAATATAAAAGAAATAATAACATGTTTGGTGATGGAGTATTTAGCAGAGTGACTTATTAAATATAGACACATGCATCAAATTCTGAAATACACCTAGCCTCAGGGTTTTGGATAAGAAATGGTGGGCCTAGAATAAGCTTAGTACACACACACCTTCTGCTGTTTTGAGCACTATTCAAATGTGCCATCACCTATGAGCTCATTCCTTGGAGCCATCATCATCTACGTAACTCATTATCTCCTTCTCTAATCAGATTCTCTGAATGACTTTCCCTTCCTGCCTCCTCCATCCCCCAGTTAGATAATCACTCCTCCAATCACTCAGCCTAATCTTCCTGGTCACCTTTAACTTCATCCTCACTCTCACCTCCTCAAATCCCATCAGCTGTGGAACTTTCACAAGGTCTCACATACTCCCATCCTGCTTGCCTTCCAGCTGCTCTGTCCCTATTCCAGACAGGCCTGAACAAACTCAAGCCTGAATTATTGCAGGTGGCTCCTAAAATACCTTCCTACTTACTTTTTACTCCCCTCCTCTCCCTTCCCAATCCCCCTTAGATTCTGCTTCAAGATTAATCTTGTCATCTTCAAAGACCATAATGAAAGAGATGACGTCCAGAGATAGGAGACTGGCATTTAAAAAACAAAAAATTGAGACCCAACCTACCTTTCCACCGCATCTCCTTCTCTTTGTAAACATACACCTTTCTGCAGTCAAGATGAGCATGACTTCTTCAGCTTTTTCCCCCATTCCAAAGAAAGCTGAGTTTTCCTCATCTTTCCTCACATTATCTACCCCATGACCTGAAATTTGTAATGAATTCTTTATATTATTGCTGACTACTTTAATCCCACTCACACTTTAGACTCCAGTTTTGATCACATGTTGGCACTGAAGAGTTCTTCTTCCTTCTGTCCACAGTGAACTCCACTCTTGAATTCCCACAGTACTTACAGTCTATACCACTCATCTGATACTTGATATGTACTTCCTTATAATTATCAGAGTATTTAATTTTTCATGCTTATGTATCTTGTCTCTTTAACCAGATTTCAAATTATTTGAGATCAGAGACCAAGTCTCATATTTTATGAATGGGCAAACGAATATCCTTCTATAGCTTACAATAAGATGGCAACATTGACAAAGATAACATGTAAAAGAAACACTGACTTATTTATTCAATCAAATGTATTGACTACTACTTTCCAGACATTGTTTTAGGCACTGAGCATTAAATGCTAAGCAATACCAACTAATCCTTGCCCTTACAGAGCTTATGATTTAGCTGGGAAGTCATACATTAATGAGACAATATACAAATAACTATAGACACAAATACATATTTGGAAAAGGAACTATGCAATATTAACAGGCTTAAAATCATATTCAGATGCTACATTCTGAATCTGAGTCTGCCTGCCTTCCAACTACTGCAATTTCAGGTAAGTCTTAACCGCAATGAATTTGTAGAACATCTTTCTTGTTGAGAGACTGACGGGTAGAGGTGATTTGACAATATGTTAAAAGAAAAGTTTTAACTATATGTTTAAATAAACATAACAATATGTTTTAAAAAATTGCAACTAATAGAGGATCTCAAGATGTTCTAAGATCCATCCTTGGAAAAAGTTATTCAATCAGAGGCATTACTTGGATCCTGATCACTTTGCCCTTCATAGAATTGCTTTCATAAAGTAAAACATCAGAGATTTGCATGTAGACTCAAATGTAATACTCTACAAAAGTTTGCTTTAAGACATTAAAATATGAAATCCATTTCTACATTTGCCACTTCACCAATTAGCACCTCCTATACAACACAGAAGAAAAAAGAATTATTTACCAAAATTTAGGACAAGGAAATTCTACAGTTTAGTCTAAAGAAAAATTCTCCTGTGGAACTTGCAATTTTTCATTATTTATGATGACCAGAGCGATGTATGTATTACGTTTCCCTTTTGCCCAGCTCCAAGGAAGCTCAAAACCAAGCAATGTAACAAAACTCAGCTAAAGCAGGAGGTTCACTTGAGCACAGGAGTTCAAGGCTACAGTGAGCTGTGATTGCACCACTGCACTCCAGACTGAGCAACAGAGTGAGACCCTGTCTCTAAAAACACACACACACACAAAAAAAAAAACCTCGCGAAATCAAAACATATTTGACTATCTTTTTTTGGTGGTCCTGATAGTCCATTGATACTATATTATGCATACATGTTGTAAATAATTTCAATTCCTTTTTGGAATAAGATTTATTTTTTAAATAAGCTCAAGGGGAATTAAATTCCCCTTGGCATGTAAGTACTTATTATCAGCATAATTATTTTTAATTTCTCTATTCATTAATATCTCTAAAGTATAATTCCCCCAAAACCTAGTACACATCATTTAAACACATATAAAAAAAAAAAAAAAAAAACTAGGGCCAGGCATGGTGGCTCACACCTATAATCCTAGCACTCTGGGAGGCCTCAGGAGGTGGATTGCTCAAGGTCAGGAGTTTGAAAACAGCCTAAGCAAAAGCGAGACCCCATCTCTACTAAAAATAGAAATAAATTAATTGGACAACTAAAAATATATAGAAAAAATTAGCCGGGCATGGTGGTAGTCCCAGCTACTCAGGAGGCTGAGGCAGAAGGATTGCTTGAGCCCAGGAGTTTGAGGTTGCTGTGAGCTAGGTTGATGCCACAGCACTCTAGCCTGGGCAACAGAGTAAGACTCTGTCTTAAAAAAAAAAAAAAAAAACTAGAATCATCCAAGCAAATGGAAAAGAGAGACACTAGAAGAATCTAAACTGGCATTCCAACAAAATCTAATTTTCATAAATCTTAAGATCAACAAGATTCAGATGCAAAACTAAATTATTCCAAATGTATCAATTCTGATTTCAGAATTGCTCCTAAATTATGTTGATAACTAAATAGCCACACTGTAATATTTATGTCTAATAGAAAAATAAAATTGATAACCAATGAAACTACATTAAATCGTGTGCTCACAGAATCATTCACATTCACTTTTCCTTACATGTGCTTTAAGTTGGAAATACTGTGTTATTCTTTTGGAATCTACTAAAAGAGACTTCCCGTAACAAAATAAATGAGGAAAGACAAGTTGATGAAATGAAAGAGCATCTATTTAATATTTATGTTTGGCATTTTATTAGAAAAAATGGAACAGTTTAATTGATCTCACAAAATTATGCTGATCATTTGGTAAACCATTCCAATATGTCTATAACAAAAAGTTCTGTGCTTGTCATTAACAATCCCACTCTTCCCTACATACACCATCATCATCATCACCACCCACCTACCATAAGCTGGCATGTTCAAATAGTTAAAAGTTTAAATATGGCCTTTTAAAAATAAATTATGTACAAATGCTAGTTATTTGGGAACAGGGATAGAAACATTTATCACATATCAAACCAATAAGAATGCTCATGTTTGCATTAAATTTTAAATTCCTTTTTATAATGTTACCTGGATGTCAGTTCCAGAGCACCCTGCTGTACTCTCCTTGGTGCAAGTGGTTATAAGTGGGAGCTGGAGAAAAAGACAACTTTAGTATGACAGGACAGAGTCAGAGAAAGTGTCCAGAGGAAATAATGTTCAAACTCAGATTTGAAGGAAAAGAGAAATTAGCCAAGTTGACAAGGAGGAGACAGGCATGATGGGCAAGAGAGAGCACATATGCAAAGGCACTGAGGCATGAGAGAACATTACAGGTTTGAGAACCAGCAAATAATTCTGTACAGTGTGAAATGTCAAGAGACCGGGTTTGAAGTGAGACAAAAATAGATCATAAAGAGCTGTGGATATCAACCAAAGAAGTTTAGATTTTATTCTGTAGGTGGTAGAAACCATCTAGTAATACAGAAAAATCATTCCAGTAGCAAAGTCCATAATGAACTAGAGGAGGAGAGAACTACTAAGAGGAAATGATTAATTGTTCATGAAGCAAGGAAGAATCAATTGTCATGAAGGGAGATGAAGAAAGATAGAAGGAGAAGACAAGTTCAAAGCTCATTAGGAAACTAAATGAGTGGGGATGAGTTGGGAGTTCATTAGAAAGTTCAATCAGGAGTCCTCACCAAGATTTGCAGACAGTTATGATTCAGTCTCCAAAATCTCATATAATTTCATAGATTTTTAGTAAGAAAGAGAAAGAAGGAAATTGCCAAATAGAAGTGATAAATCTGACTACATCGTAGAATCTTTTCTATTACAAGCATAAAAAAAAGGACACATTTTTATATTATTTTAAAATAATTTGTACTCAATAAATCACTTGAAATCTAGATTGCTTTTTCAGGGCTGAATTATGCATACCAACAGGAGAATTAAAATGTAAACTATGTTTGAAATGTGATTTTAGTACAAGAGATAAAGGTTTTCAATAGAATGATTTAACAAAATATAGCAATTACAAAACCAAATGACCTTCCCTTATTATTTACCTTACCTGTATGTTTCTCAATCAATCTTTAATATGGGCAAATAACTTTTCTTCAAACTGAATATTTTTGTCTAAATTTGCTTTAGTTTTCTACACTAATGAAATCTCTTGACTGAGTTCCAAATACATCCAGCCATTCCTTGTAACAGATATGTATTGTGTTTTCTGCCTGGTACTCTCTACCTATTTTTGGAAACTGACCCTTTCCCACTCACCACCCACCCTTATCCTCTTCTAGCCACATGATTACTATGCAGGATGCTGTGCTTGTGCAGATGATCTAACACCAAATTCCTACATATCCTCCGTGTCAATGACCTGTCTCTCTCCACTCCACTCTAGCACCCACTTTCTAAAGACCACACCCTATTTGGGAATCACCACTAAAGAATGGCTGTTACAAGTCATCTGACCACACCTCCCAATCTTTTCCCTTTTCTTAGTCCCATTTCACCTGTTGCGTTTCATCCAAATCTTCAGGCCCTTGTCCACTTCTCCTAGATCATCATCTCCCTCATCTCTTTTCCATGTCCAGCCAAAACACCTCTTGTTAATCAAATTAATAACCCTTTTACTAGAACTCTCTGCTTACTTTCCAGCCTTTGTTTCCAATACAGCAAGCCTGAGCAGTCACCACCCAGATGAATCACTCTCAAATTCTGTTCCAGGTGACTGAGCTCTCAAAGAGAAAGCTGCCCAACAACTCAGACTGGTGTTTTTCAAAATTACAGTGGCTGACATACACTGCCTTCAGTGATGCTCAACACCTATTTTTTTCCAATTGTCCCTAGTCAGTTCACTTCCACACTACCTACGGTCACAGTTCCAAACCTTCACCACTTTCTTAAACCCCTTACATCATCAAACCCCTCCATCTTTACCTTCAGTTTTTCTTTTTCATAGTAAAAAAGAGGTTATCAGGTGGAAGGAAATTCACCTTCCAGCTCTTCCACCTCACATATACCCATTAGAGCATCACCTTCTATCTCACTCATGGCCATATGTGAGGAACCAGGGTCTCTCCTCCTGTATTCTCTAAGACTACCATTCCTACCGGTGTCCTAAGTCCCAGGCCAAAGAAACCTTCAGAGATGCTGTCTTTCGACTATATCTTTATCTTCAACTTAGCTCCTTCCCCCACAAATACAGGCAGGTCAATTAATCTCATGACCCAAGTAAAACCATCACCACCAGCAATAACAAAAACGTCCCTTGGTCCTTCTTCTGTTTATAGCTACTTCCCCATTTCTTTCTTCTATTGCCTCCCTAAACTTCTATAAACTACAATATGTGCATATATACATATATGTATGCATTGTACATATATGCACATTCATGTATATTACCCATATATACACATAGATTATAAATATAAAATATGTACATTTTATATATTTATATGACAGAAACAGATGGCAATAGTTTGAGGACTAAAGATTGAGAAAAATATAGGTAATATTATGTGTAAATTCTCTTCCTAATTAATTCAGCTGCAGTATTTAAAACTGCTTTCTTTACTCCATAGCACATATAAACTCTTCATTATCATACATTTATTTGTATAATCTTTTACCCTCTCTGTAGGGGGTAAGTTTTTACCAGGGCAGAGACTTTACCTGTTTGATTTGTTGCTAGAATAGTTTCTGGCATGTAATAAGTGATCACTGAATATTTGTTGAATAAATATCATCCACCCCTCTAGGCCAAAATTGTTAAGTCCAGAGGTGGGAACCTCTGAGCCAACTGCAGTCTTTTCTCTGCAAGTTCAAACTTGTGAACAAGAGAGTTAGGCCAGTCTCTCTGGGTGGATATAAACTGAACCTCAGGGGGGAAGGAGAATAAAGCAGATATAACAGGGAAGTTGAGACAAAGAGCATCCTGACTCCTGACAGAATCCAAGCCTTGGTTCCATTTATCCCAATGTCAAAAATGAATTATATCCTTGGTCTCTATGGAATATCCCAATATCTCTATAGTATGTTACCTTTTTAACTTAAACTAATTTAGTCTCTTTTCCTGCTGCTTACTCCCCAGGAATTCCTTACTAATACACTATTCTGTGGGTGAATAGGCTCAAAATAAACATCCTAAAGCTAATGTTCAAAAAAAAATGAGGGTAAAAAGTTAGAGTTCCAATTCCAACTCCCTAAATGAGCAATATGTGTAATTATGTGAGTGATGGTTAACTTACTTTAATGAAAATGTACTGTGATATGGAGGCATTTTCTTTACGATTTACAAACTCCCAAGTATAGCATACTGAGGTACTATTTGTAGGAAAAGAGCTATTTTCATGTCTTCTCTAAATAAGATTATATATACATTTATTTTATCTCTAAAGCCATTTTTTAAATGAAGTTTGGTACTAATTTTACCTCATGTTAATTTTCCTTAGGCAATAGACAAAGTACACTATTAAACAGAGAATAAAGAACATAGTTACAACAATGCATAACAAATTAAAGCTGGGGACAAACTAAAATGCATCCTAAATTGGCATTTAGAAATAACAAAGCTCTATCTTGTAGAATAGAAATTAAATAATTAGCAAAATCACATTTCATGGGTTATGGTACTTACCAAACAAACGCTGATGGAACAGAAATTTGCCAGCTATTAGTCCTATGAGAATGGCAAGTAGCCATAGAAGCACCTTCAAAATCCTCCAGCCAACTCCTCTAGGGTATTTATTTGTTACAAACGAAAAACAGTTTCCAACAACAATAACATTGGCTTCTGTTTGGCTGTGAGAAACTGGGTCCTCCGCAAATATTAAGAAGTTAAAGAAGATCACCAAGTAAGCCACAATCATGCGAGACCAAGGATGCTGGAAATAATAACGAAAGTCTTTACCCATCCTTCAAACCTTCAATTCCGTAGTTTACCTGTGTAAGAAAAGATAGAAAGCGTTAGAGCAGGAAAACAAGCAGTCTCTCTCTTCCTGCTATCTGTTCAGCTTTATATTTGAACTTTTATGAACTTTTATTCAACAGTTCAATAAAAAGGTATTTGGAAAAGATGATACCCTTTCCTATTTATGGCACCAAGACTAGTCTAAGAGTGTGGAAAGTTAATATGGTCCCTTCCCTATCATCTAATCATACTTCTGATCATTTGAGGATTTAGGGGGAAAAGCAGAATAAAAGGGTAGGGGGAGCAGAAGGGACATGAGAGGGCAGAACACTGTTCAAAATTGTGATGGTGACTAAGACAATATGCAGAGGTCCTCCCAAGAGGAAACACAGAGCATAAAACCAATGCAATTCTTTTCTTCTTTTTGATTATCACTTTATCTTACCATCATAATACAGAGTCATTTAAAAATTGAAACGATATAGAAGTAAACTGTGCACATATTAACAAAAATGAACAATACCATCCTCATACCATTCTCCTCTGCCCAAACCCTCTCCTCAGAGTTATGATTGCTTAATAATTTGGTGGATATACATTCATATCTTCTTCTATACATTGACACATGCATATTTGTGTATGAACTTTCATAAAAAAATTCACAGTCTAGTTATCAAATAATTTCAATACAGAATAAGCTTTATGAAATAGCTAAGTCTATGACAAAGCAGTTGCTCACAGGAAGGATTGGACAACTCTGCTTTTGGGGAGTGAGAAGAAAGGGGAAGATTTCACAGAGGACATGCCCACATTTGAGATTGGAAAATTAATAGCATTTTTTTACCAAGAGAAGAAGGCAAGGATGCCACATCTAGGTGGTGGTAAAGGCATATGCAAAGGCACAGAGGCATTGCAAAATATGTAATGTGACTACAGCAGTGGGTCCTGACCTGAATTTGCATTGGAAGGACAGCTCCAAAGTCTCACTCAATTCCTGCCTCTTTCCTTTTTGGGAGCCAGCCCGCCATAAAGAAAGAAAGCTGTAACTTCCACATGGGAAGGCCTGTGTAGGTACACAAGGACTTGCGAGTGGGTGATTAAGTCTATCCAGCTCTGGAGTTTGACTTTGGTGAGCCCATTTGGCTCTCAGAGTAAGCTACGTCTGCTTTTTTCAGCAATAAAGCTGATATTTTTGTTATCCAAGATAACAACAATAATAAAGGCAATAATTTGACTGCCATCTACCAATTCATTTTTCTTGTTTCTCAGTTTCTCATTTTATTTAGAGTTCAGAAAAGGAAGAGAGGTAAGAGGGACCCTTACAAAGTCCACAGTTCTTTACATGCTGGGCTCTGTGCTGGATGCCTACATGCATCGTTATGCCATTTTTATCTTAACAGCTCCCTGAAATGCTGTTATTATCATTACCACTACTTTATTTTACAGGGAGAAAATTGAGGCTCACACAGATTATGTAACTTGCCCAAAATCACCTAGCAGGAGAGCTCTGATCTGAGCCTCTAAAGTCTGACCCCAGGGCCTGATCACCATTCTCTGCCGGCAGCCAGATCAGTTGCAGGCACTTTCCCTGCCTAGAGAGTAGATCCAGGGCAGACCCAGGGATGCCATCCCTTGAATGCCTCTGGAGATATATTCTTCTCTAGACACAACTATAGTAACTCTGTAATATATACTGCTACAGCCCAGAAGTAGGGGTGGGGGTGGGGGAATATATATATGCCTTTGCATATATATATGCCAAATACATAATATATATATATATATATATATATGATATATATATATTATATATATATCAGAATCCTTTACAAATCCTGAACTTTGCAGGGGAAAAAAGTAACCATTGATAAATAGTCTCATTTTACACATGACTAAAAGTACCAAGATCATGCCACAAGCCTGAAGTAATTGTAAATCAATGGAAGATCTGAGAGTACTCTGCAAGGCTCCCAAATCCCAATCCAATATTCTGGGCTGATGAGTGTCAATTAAGCCCACAATCTAAGTTAATGAAGACTTGTTTTAACTATTTTACAAAAGCAATATGAACACGAAAAATGATCAGCAACAGAATTCAGCCAAGCAAGCAGTCCACTGTGCCTTAGATTCATAAGCCCTCTAAGCAATTTCAAGTCCCTTGTGATCTTCGTGAACACTCTGAAATATCTGTTCCCAGGGGCTGTAGCTCAGATTACCTAGGAATGGTGACTATCGCAAGATTCTTATTTTTGTTTCTGTTTTTTTAAAATGAGGCTCATTACCCATTGTAGCAGCAGCAACCTACATGCGTGGTTCTCACACCAAAGAGAGCAGAGCAGGCAGTGAAGAACAAAAGTGAACATTATGCCTTTGCATGATATTCAGGGTGAAAGAATGCCAGAATGGATCAGTTGTCCACTGAATCTCATGCAACACCTTCGGAAGTGTCCAAAGACCACCACAAGAGAAATTCTCAAAAACATCTCAAGTACCAGTGAGTCTTGAAAAAGGAATAGTCCCAACATGCCCATCAGAACTGGACAGGGGCACCATTTAAGAAGTTGGTTAAATTAGAACATTCAAAAATTTTTTGAAACAGCTGTTCCTCTCCAGCATTTATATTATTTCAGGAGAGAAAACTGCAGCATTGAGCAATACTGTATTCCCCTAGTAATGCCATGAATGCCACCATCACTCTCATGTTACAGGTAAGAAAATGAAGGCTCAGAGAAGTTGCTGCCTGTTTAATTCACAGCCCCAGTTAATGGAAAAGTCAGGATTTGAATCCAGACTTATATCTAGCCCTTAATCTTTCTAATACACCACAAGCTGGAAGTGTTCATGCGCAAGGTTGCCAAAAGTTTGCCTAGTCATCTTAGCCCTGTTTTTAGTGCCTTACGTACCCTGATATTTGCCAGAGCACCAAAATTGTTTTCACCTCTGTAGTTCACATAAAGCATCTTTATGATCAATATGATCATTTGGTGACTCTACTGTTGATAATCCAAGAGTGAGGTTGTTCAAATTGACTATGTTACACAGGGCAAATAGTCTGTAAAACCCCTTCATTTTTTTTAAATTCATTTCTACAACCATAGATGAGAATGATATCTTAGTTCTTAGTTTATCACAGTGAAATCAACTGTTTATGTGTTTGTCTCCTTCACTTACTCATGAGCTCCTCAGAGAAAAGCCTCTTTACTTCCAGGCATAGCACAGTGCTGGACTCATTGTGGGCTATCGGTAAACATCTTCTTAATGAGGTGAGTGGTATACTCCAAAAGAGAAGCCCCCTCATGGTTTAGGTGACATAATAAGGTGACAGAGCAACCTGCCATTTGACTTCCACTAAGGGAAGGGAAGAGGAGAGGAGAGCAGGGGAGCCTGAAACCACAATGATGACTTGGCCAGTAACAATACTAATGCACCCCCACCCAACCCACCTCATTTCAGCACCAGGATCTGCATTATCACTACTGAGCCTGCCGTTTATTGAGTATTTACTATAATATATATCAGATACTATGCTAATGAGCTTTACAAGCACCTCCTTTACATCTCATAGCAGCCCAATGAATAAAATACTCTTATTTTACAAATGTTGAAGCTGAGACTTAGAGTTGAGTAACTTGTATAGAGTAACAAAATTAGTCTACATCTGAAAAAGGATTCAAATCCAAGTCACCTGACTTCAACACTCTATATTATGCTTTCCCCACACAAAGACATAAATTCCAAAATTTTGCCCTTTGCATGTTGGTTAGAAAGTTTCTGATAATAATGCTACCTAATATTAAAAATTCACAGTTCTTCTAGGATGAATGGATCTATTACTATTCAAATTAGCCTTGATAGCATGATCAGAAAGAACTGGGGGTCATGTGACTACAGAATTGCTTGAATTTTATCTTCTTCTTTGAGCATCAATAAGTAGGTGAGTTGATCTTTTTGTGCTTTTTGCAATGCATCACGGATGTCTATTCTGTGATTTTCCACCTGCATCTCAGAATTAGACTAATCTACACAGTTTAATTCCCTCTTATAAGTAATGACATTATTAGGTAGATTCCACTATCAGTATCTTGGAAGCCTCTGCTTTTTCATATAATAGCAGCTATGAAGATGTCAGTAACTTCAGCCTGAAACTGATAAGCCATAAATCTTCAGTCATGGTTTCCAACTCTAAAGAAACTAGCATTCATACTAGATACTAGGAATGTCATGCATTTTACTAAAAGCCAGTATTTAACTTAGAACTAAAGGCTAAGAATGTAGAAGAATACAAAGGAAAATGAGAGAGATGTAAGGCCACTCAAGTTGGGAGGACATGTTGTGCCAAGGCACAGAGGAAACTGTCTGGGACTCATGTACAGACATATCAGTAGTTCTGTGTGTCTGTACCACAGAGTGCTGAGAGGTGTCTTGAGAAAGTTAAGGATAATTTGGGGCCAGTTAAAGAAAGATTATACGAAAGTGTTGGTCTGTATTTTGCTAAGTAGGGAAAAGAGAATTATCAAAGATGTCAGAGCAGAAGAGAGATACAATCATACGTAGCAAGTGGTGAAGTCCAGGTTTGTTAAGTCTATGATGATATTTATTCATTCATTCAATATTTACCAATTGCCTGTTTTGTGCCAAGCACTGGCCTATGTGCTAGGATTACTAACAGACAAAACTCCTGTTGTCATGCAACTGATAGTTTCTTAGGGGAAACAGACATT